TTAAGGCCCAAGTTGTTACTGAAATACGCTCACTTTCTCAGCTTGAAAATGATTTAAACACAATGGACATAAAAATTGGACTTTTAGTACGTAATCGAATTACTTTACAAGATGTAGTGATGCACAATAAAAAACTTAAAAAAGATCGCTCTGATGCTTTAACAGCATCCCAAGCTACTCAAGGTATAAAGGGATTAAGTCGAGAGAAAAGAGAACAGTTAGAAGCTTATCAGCATTTATTTTATCTTCTGCAGACAAATCCTAATTATCTTGCACGACTTATTTTTAAAATGCCACAAATCAAAACAACAAAATTTATGGAGTCTGTGATTTTAACTCTATATAACTACGCAGCTAATGCAAGAGAGGAGTATCTTCTATTAAAGATGTTTGAAACTGCACTTCGTGAAGAAATAGGGTAAGTGTTTTTAGATATGAGATATAGTATTTTATTATCTTTGTTGTATTTAATTTTTAATTTTTTTCTTTTTTAGAGATAAGATTGATCAAATAGTTGAAATTGTTACAGGCAACCCTACTGTAATTAAAATGATAGTTCATTTTAATAGGTAAGTGATTTATATACAGCAGTTCGTTATGCTATAAATGTGAATATGAAACTTTTTCAGACAATAAATATTTTCTGGTAAATAGATTTTAGGTAAGGTATTTAGGTTTTGCAAAAAAGGAAAACACTCTAAATCAATTGTCTGTATCAATTGCTTGTATCAATGTAAAATAAAATGTCTGTATCAATTGTTTTTACAATTGTAATACGAAAAATTTCTAAAAAATGTTCGTTAAAAAGTGTCTAATTTTAAATGTTTTGAAAGTTTTGCAGGCTGTAATTATTTAAATAAATACAATCCTTGATATCAGATTGGACATCCAGTTTTACATTGACTTTTATTAGCCATTTTTTTTTTTAATTTTTTTTTATGAATGATCAAATTTTTAAAGTTAATGTTTTATTAAAAATAATGAAGGTTTTTTTAAGTTAGGTTACTTTTTCTTTAAAAAACAATTAGCCAAATAAAAAAGCACTAAATGACTTTTAAAAAGGGATCCCTAACTGCTGAGAAAAGTTGTGTTTGTATTAAAGAAAATTTTATAATAAAAAAAGATTTATATTTACAATTGTTAAAAACATGTTGTACTACTGAAATCTCAAAGCCAAATATATTATTTTATTTTTAATTGTATTACAAAAAATTTTTAGATTTAGTAAAAAACTATAAAAATAAATATGATTTACTGATTGTGTGAGAAAGAGTGCTATATATTAAAAAGAAAATTCCACAATGATGTTATATACTAAAACTGTTATAAATTAAACGCACATAAAATCAATAATCAAATCTGCAGATTGCTTTGTATATATTATAACTCTGAGAAAATGTAGAAGGCGAGCTTTAACTAAAACAACAATTTTTGTTTTGTTGATTTGCATTTATTATTTAGTTTTAACGAAAGTAGATTTGGCTCGTGTTTTTTTAAACATTTTCTTTAATATGAACACAACATGTTTCAGCCGTTATGCATCTCTTTATAACATAGTTTTGATTAATATTTTATGCATAATAAAGATTTTCTTTCATTTGAAAAATATCTAAGAAACATGTTTAATTTATATACAAATCTTTATTTAAGGAAAGTTGACATACCAACAAAAAAAAATTTATCAATAATAAATTTGTCTTGTCATCCAAAAGTAATTCAATTGATTATCTCAAAATATGAAAGATATAATGTCATAAAAAACAAGACGCCTTTTGCTGAATTTAAATAAAATGTAATGTCATGAGGCATGAGTCCTAAATGCAATCTTAAAAGATTTAAACTTAAGATTTAATTTTTTTAAGTTTACTATTTTTATTCTCTTGAAAAATTTATTCATAATGTACATGAAAGAAAATATTCTGTCAATTTCACTCTAAGTAAATGTACATACATAAAAATATTCTGTCAATCTCACTATAAATAAATGTTTCTATTTTGATAAAAAGATTTTTAAAAGTTTCAAAGATTTTAAAGTTGTAAATTAAACTGTGTATGGTTATTAATTATTTTATTAAATTCTTTATGTGTTCATTAAAAACCCATAAAAATGGTGTCACTTCTGGTGTTATTTCTGTAACAGTTGTTGTTACTGTGAAGACTTTAATTACAGTTTGATAAGAATAATTAAAAAAAACTTATTAATAGACACTTTATAATTTAAAATGCTCTTTTAAATGAGAGATGTTTATTACATAGTTTTACACCTTTTTAAATGATAAACCTTTTTTTGATTCTCTTTAACAAACTAATAACTATATTTAAAATATTTGTAGAGGTTCAAAAGGGCAAACATCGCTACGAGATATTTTAAGCCCTCTTGTGAAAGAAGTTATTACAGACAAAAATCTAGTTATTAACACTAACCCAACAGAAGTGTACAAGCAATGGATAAATCAGATGGAGAGTGAAACTGGTAAACCAAGTGAACTTCCTTATGATGTTGATAATGAGTTTGCTATGAAACAACCAGAAGTAGCGCGACGCATTGAGGCTTCAGTTAAAGCCCTTGAAGTTGCTTCTGACAAATTTTTGAATCACTTTATCAAATCTATTGACAAAATTCCGTAAGTTGTTTATAAGTTTCATAAACTGAGATTTATTGTTTAAACTTACTTTATTATTAATTATATTCTTAAGTTATGGTATGCGATATATTGCAATGACACTCAAGGAATCTCTAAGAGAAAAATTCCCTAATGCAAAAGATGATGAAATTTTGAAGGTGAGTGAGAATAATCCATAATTAGTTTTATTTTAAAATTGTTATTTAATTTTTTACAAATCATTAGCCCTGCATACAAGTGTTTAATTTCTATTTAAGATAAATTATAACAGATCTTTATTTTAAATCTATTTACATGTTGAAATTTAATATTAGCCTAATATTGAAATAAAGAAAAGTATCACTAAATAGGCTATTTAAGAGTATCATTTTATCACCAACAAATTTGTCTGTGAAAAGTACAGAAACTAAATAAAATCCTATTGAAAAAAAAAACAGATTTGAAAAAAATGGTTTGAATTTGCTACAAAAAGGTAGCGGTTTTTCATGGCTAATAATTTTTACTTTTAAAAAAGGTCTTTTTTTTTGGAAATATAAACATTTATTTTATGGATTGCTACTGCAATAAGTTTTGTTATTAAATTAACAGTGGGTCCTTACATAAGTACAGCAAATTTTTTTCTTTTCTTGCCGATAGCTTCCTCCTATGCTGCAAAATTTTTTTGCCCTTTTTGTTTTTTTACTTTTGACAAATCACGCTAGTTCTTCCTTGGTTTATGAATGCTAAAATGAAATCATTGTAAAACTTGATTAATAAGTATCTTTTTTTACTTTAAACTCTAGTAACCTTGTGTAAATAACCTAAAAGTTTTAATTGTACTCAATGATACAAAATGTCAAACATTATCACCTTTTCTCTTTTTATATGTATTTACAGTTTATATGAGTTAAAAGAGTTCAATTAATTGTTGTCTATGTTTTTTACAACAAATATATTATGAGCAAATGATTTATTAAATTAAATCCAAAAAAAAAAAAGATACTTTTTTTTTTTTTTTTTTTTTTTTTTTTTGTTATAAGTGTGCACAAAAGAGGCGGTTTATTTTTTTTTTTCAAAATGTTAAATACAAATTTTTTTAAACAGACTGAAGGAAATGTGAATTTTTTTCAAATATTTATGCCTATTCGTAGAACTTTCGAAAGTTTGAAGAAATCATAATTCTTTTTCATCAAAGCTGAAATGTAGATAAATTTATAAATAACTTTACCTTAACAAACTTTATTAGACTTGTTTTCCAATCTGTTTATTGAGTTAGACAGGATATTAAATTAACTTTTTCCTACAATGAAACCTTCATTCTATGTGCTTTTATTTTAGTAAATTAGATTATTTTGATAAATTTTGATTTTAAGTAATAAAATTTCAATGTATATATATATATATATATATATATATATATATATATATATATGTTTTTTGCAATATTAGGCTTGTTTTTTTGTGAAGGGTAACATATTGGTATAAAGATATTTTAATTTTGGAAAATTTTAATAGGTTGTTGGTAATCTTATATACTATCGATATATGAATCCTGCTATTGTTGCTCCAGATGCTTTTGATATTGTTGATTTAGCTATTGATAAAGGTCTCTCTCAAGATCAGGTAGTTCTTCTTTTATTTATATTGTAAAATGTATTTGTTACTTTTAAAAAATGGACAAATAAACTAAGTTTTAATAAAAATTATTGGTTGGTTTAGAGACGTAATCTTGGATTGATAGCTAAAGTTTTGCAGTATGCAGCCTCAAATAAAATGGTATTTTTCATGCAAAGAAACAATTTTTTACTGTTTACTATTTTTTTATGTTTTACTTTTTCTCTTATGACTTATTGTTATTAATTATAATTCTGACCTTTATTGTTAATGTTACAACAATTTTTTGTTAATATTTAGTTTGATCTTGAGAATGCTCACATGAGTTCACTGAACCCTTACATATCACAATCATTTGCTAGACTGAAGTAAGATTTTATATATCAGAATCATTTGCTAGACTTAAGTAAGATTTTATATATCAGAATCATTTGCTAGACTTGAGTAAGATTTTAATTTTATGAAGTTTTTCTTTGTTATAATTTATCAGTAAAAGGTTTTATTTGAACAGTATAACAAAAATATTTTAACTATAAAAGTTTATTTAATGTTTATAAATGTGATATACATATGTGCATTTAGATTTAGAAATATATATTTTCTTTTCACATATAAGTTTCTTTTTAGAAAATTTTTTACTGATGCTTCTACTGTTGAAGATGCTGAATCACATTTTAATATTGACCAATATTCTGATGTTACTATGGTCACAAAGCCAGTTGTTTACATGACTGTCCAGGAAATCATTGATACACATCAAGTATTGCATTTTTTTTTTAATATTCAGTTATTAGTGATTTAGTAATAACAGTTATTAAATAATTATCCTGTTAATAATAGTTTATATTGAAAAGCACTCATTTTTTTATTTAAAATTAGTTGAATAACACTTCAATAGTTGTACAATTTAACAAAATTTAAATATAATTCAAATAATAAATAAAAATGAAACACAATAAATTCTAGCTTTTAAGTGAACATGTACATGAAATTACAAGTGATGAACATGATCCTCTTAAAGAACTATTGGATGACCTTGGAGATGTACCTACAGTTGAAGAAGTTGTTGGTATACCTAAGTCTGATGTTAAAGAAGAACAAGAACAACAAATTGCTAAAATGGCTCAAACTGAAATTTCACTAACATTAACAAATAAGTTTGAAGTTCCAGATGATGATGATTCAGATATGAAAGCTTTGTTTGTTAGGTGAGATATATTTTATTAATTAGATGAAATGTTTCTTATTGGTTCAGTGTGATAATTTTGCATTTTTATTTGAATATATTTGTTTGTGAACTCTTTAATTTCAACCATCTTTTTCTTAAAGCAATGAAAATAAAATCTAACAATAAAAGTATATAGAAAAATTGTTTAGGAATTTTTAGTTAACACAAAATATTTATTCTAGTTCTTGTAAAAACCAGAGGTGCTATGCACCAAAAATACTGGAAAAGTATGTTTATAAATATAAGTGTTATATAGATTTGAAGTAGTATTTATTATATTTTAAAACACTTTTTACATTGGTTTATTTTATTAATGAAAACTTTTTTCATTGTAGAACAAAAAAACTTATAGTTGACATTATGCGCGTGCAACAAGGAGAACATTTGATTCAAATATTAGAAACGCCCGCTACAAAACAGCAGGTAATTGCGTGTTCTACAGATAGTTGTGTTTATAGCAGGTTGTTGTGTGTTCTGTTGTGTGTATAGCAGGTTGTTGTGTGTTCTGCTGTATTTTTGCTGCAGCTTTTTAATCAAAATATTTGATAGTAAATATTAGTAAATTTTGTTATTGCAGGAGAGTGAACACGCGCGTATAGTTAAACAAAGACATGAACATGAAGGAAAACAAAAGTCTAGTGGAGTAAAAAGATCAGCATCTTCACTTGGTGATAGCAAGTGAGTTTAAACTATTTTGAGTTTAATTTAAATTAATTTGGTATACAGGTAATTTTTATCCAGGTAACTTGTATTCTTTATGTTATTGTTTGAACTTTGATTACTTTTTTTTTTTTTTTTTTTTCTTCTAAACAGGATGTCCTTAAAAGAAATTAAAAAGAAGATTTATCATAATTTAAAAACTCTTGAGCAGCAAGGGCTTGTTTCTTCTAAGAATCGTTACCAAGATATTGTAAATGCCATTGCAAAGGTATTCTTTACTAATTTTGTGGTGTTAAAAATGTTTTGTTATGTTTTTTAACGGGTACTAAGTACAAAAAAATATTTTTTTTTTATTTAAAAGATTTAAAAAATTAAAAGTTTATTAAATTTGTATTTAAAAATATAAGCATCTTTTCATCATCTAAAATAAAGATGTCATAAAAAGCAAAGTAGATAAATAAGATAATGTCATAAAAAAACAAAGTAGATAAATAAAGAAGTTAATATGTCATAAAAAACAAAGTAGATAAATAAAGATAATATGTCTTAAAAAACAAAGTAGATAAATAAGATATGTCATAACAAAGTAGATAAATAAAGAAGATAATATGTCATAAAAAAACAAAGTAAATAAGTAGTAACTTAAATGCTAATATGTTTACATTAAACAGTGTTAAAATTGTTAAAAAGGTTTTTGATTTCTTAGAAGCATTTTTTTAATGTTTTTTTTTTTTTTTAAATCAAGTAAAATAAATATTTAAATATGCTATTAAATATTTAATTTTATATTTTGAATGTGTATTAAATATATTGATTCTAAATGAATGAATGAAATATTGAATAAAATGAATGTGCAGCTTATATCTTGAGTTGATGTTTTGTTATTTTTGTCTACTTTCAAAAACGTTTTTTAAAAAAAAAAATTTCTTTAGAATTTAATGAAAGTTGGTGATTGATAATTTTGTATATTATGTACTTTTACATGTGCATGTGTTTATTATGTCATAAGCATACTTTAATATATATCATTATTTATTACTCTATATCATTATTTATTATTCTATATCATTATTTATTACTCTATATCATTAGTTATTACTCTATATCATTAGTTATTTTAAAGCACTACCTCTAAATAATGTCAGCGATTGTTTAATATGGACGTTTTAACAGGTTTTTTGGGTTGTTTTCTTTATTTGTTTCTTGTTTTCTTTTTGTTTTTTAATTCTCTTTAGACATTTTTTATAAACAACATACAAATAACTGAAGTTATTAATATAAATAAACAAATAACTGAAACTATTAATTTAAACATTTGGTTCATAGTTATTTCAAACCGTTAGGTTTTCTTTGTAGTTTGTAAAGAAATTTTATTTGTTCTTGAAAATAATAATCTTTTAATTTAATATTTATTAAAGCTGTTGTACAGTTAATTTTTTTTTTATTTGTTGCTAATAGTGTTTTCTTTACTTAAAAAAAACTTACCCCAAAATAAAATGTTTACATGCATTAAGTTATTATTTTATTTATACTTTTTTTTTCATTTAGTAATCTCTTTAAAAACTATAAAATTAATTCCTTAATATATTAATCAAGTTTAATTAAATATTTTATGTCTTAAATTCAGTTTAATTTGTTTCTTTGTAATGTTAGGACATTCGAAATCAACGCAAGTATCGTCAAAGAAGAAAACAAGAGTTGCAGAAATTGAAACAAACATTAGATAATTTAAATAGAAAGGCTAAATTTTATGAAGAACAAGTCAATTACTACAATCAATACACTAAAGTTTGTCTTGATAACCTTACTAAGAAGTAAGTGTTGTTTTTTCACTCGTTATTGTAATCTTATATTGCAGCTATTGTATTAATTTGTTTATATCTTTACAGAAAAGTAGGCAAAGTAAAGAAAGGTAAGAAATCAGATAACATTGTTGTTGGAACAATAAAATATAGCGCACAAAAGTTGTTTGAAAAGAAAGTTGTTTTGGAAATAGAGGGATTGCCGCAGCCTCAGTAAGATTTTATTTACTAATAAGAATGTATTTCGTAGTATCTATTATGGTACTTAAATTTTATTTTTTTAATTTTTTTTTAGGTTTAAAAATGTTATGTTTGAAATTACATCATCTGAAGATGTTGGTGTTTTTGAAGTTTCAGCAAAATTTATGGGTGTTGCTATGGAGAAAGTAGAACTAGTTTTTCAGGTTAGAAATGTTTTTGAACTTATTTAATTTTAATAACGATTATAAACAATTTATTTTATATAAATAATATATGGTAAGTTTATATTGTAAAATTTTTAAAATACTTGTTTGTTCCAAACCCAAACCCTCAAATTATGTATTTACCGAAAACCCCTTTGAAGGCTATTTCAGTATGACATTGATGATATTTCATGCACAGTTAAGTGCATAATGATATTTGTCTGTATGATGTGTATGTGTGTGATATTTTATTTATAAAAGTAACACTTGGTGTAAGTATTGTTTTTTATCATTTTTGTTTGCTTAGGATTTACTTCAGCTTCAGTATGATGGTGTTGCTGTTATGAAAATGTTTGGAAAAGCCAAAATTAACGTCAATCTGCTCATTTTTTTAATAAATAAGAAGTTCTATGGAAAGTAATTTTTGACGAATTTTCGGTTCATAAAGCTTTTTCTAGGCTCCAGTAGTTGCTAAAATGCTGATTATTGTTCGAAATCAACTATAAAAACGACAATTGAGTTTTCAACTAGTTTCCTTTATTGAGTGATGTTCGCTTCAAGAATTCAATTAAATGATATTCGTAAGAAGTAAACATGTGAATATGAACGTATTGAGTTTTCTCACCTTTTACTATGTGTAATAGTTTAGTTAAGTTCAAATCTTTAGATTTCTTTAATGTCGAGAATTTAAATTATGAATTTTTTTATTTATTATTTTTGTGAGGCTGTTTTTAGTTTCTTTTTTTTAAATATTTTTAGAATGGTTTACATTTTATGATACACAATATACGAGTTCGCAATATTATCTTTTTACAATCTAAAGTGTAGGCGTTTGTTAAATACTTCCGTTTCTCTTTTTCTTTTTGTACTTTTTCTTTTTAGCTTTAACTGGGCATATGAAAGTCTTTTACTTATCTAAAGTATTTGTATAACATTCAAAAATAAAAAGAGAACAATGCAGTACTACATTTTTATTTTTTTAAACTTGGAAAATATCAACATCTTTATTATAATAAATCCATTGATAAAAATATTCCTTTTGTTTAAAAGTTTGTTTTTTTACAATAACGAGAAATTGTTTCCTACTATCATGTATCTACAATGGTGTTAGTTTTATGAACCAATTATCTCTTTACAAAGTTTTACCATAGTCTCTAACTTTTTAAACTAAAGGGAGACGGAGCTAGTTGCCTTTATTATTACTCTTTATAATTACTCTTGAGCTTTTATCAACCGCGTCACATGTGACGCAGATGTGACGCAGTGGTTAGAGCACTAGCTTTAGAAGAATGAGATCTAGGTTCGAAACGAGCTCTAGACATTTTTTCGCGTCACGGCTCTATGCGTCGCGAAGCGGAAATTACTTTTCTGAAAAAAAATTCAATTTTAACATTTTGAATATTTTTTAATCGAAACAAGTTAGTATTAATTAAAAAAAAATGTTTATTGCAAATTTTTTTAAATTTGTCTTTTTAAGTGCGAGATTTTCAGGGGTGAAAAAACCTGGGTTTTCACAAACTTTTTATATTATATACAATAATTTCCAAATTTCCTCAAGTTTTTTGCATATTACCAAATAAATGATGTAGGTAATTTTGTAAATTAAAAACCAAAAAATGTTTGGAACGTTGTTTTTGCGCGTCCGTAAAGATTGATCCAGATAATAACTATACATTGGACCAACGAGGCAAATTTATTCCGTTGGGCCAACATTTAATCAATGTTTTTTTTTCGTCGTAATATTTCAATTCTACCAATCAGTTTATTGCAAATATCGTACTACGTTGGGCCAACATTTGGCCAATCTAGTATAGTCTTAATATTTTGCTGTTCTTACATTTATGCCGTAGCCAATGTAGTTGCGGATTTGTATATTTTTAAATTTGTTGAGTAACATTTTTTAAAATGTTATTGTTTTACAGAATTAAAAAAAGGTTTTGATCTTTCCATTTTTTTTTAAATTATAAAAATAAAAGCTATATTTATTAATCTTGTAGGAATCTTAAAAGGTTCCTTATAACAAATAAACTTGAAGATGTTCTCATCACTTAATGTTTTATTTTTTAAAATAATGAAATATTAAATAATATTCAAATAATATGCTTATTATAAGCCTTATAACTAGGGATGTACCGAAGCTGAAATTTTGCCGAAGCCGAAGCTTCGGCCGAAGCCACTTTGCCAAAGCCGAAGCTTCGGCACTATATATGCTTAAAATTTAATCAGCATTTAGATCAGCAGGGGTGTAAAACAAAAAAGGTACCAAAACTAAGGTCCTTGACTAATAATATAGAAAAGTCGTATAAAAATGAGGACGCCAGTCAGGGTTGCTGTTCCAGGCAGGGCAAAAGCTCTCAGCGCCCCTGTTTAAAAGTTTCTCATTATGTCGTTTCTGATACTTGACCGCACCGAGCGTTTTTTTTTTAAACTTAAACTTTTTTGAAACATTCTCCCCAAATTTTCCTACTTCTAGTTCTACTTTTTCTGTGTGCAAACCATATTAATGTTATATAGCATCATTTCATGTGCTGTATATTTTATTTTTATTTTTAATGCACCTTTTGTTAATAGAAGTGGATAAAAATCTCTGAAGTAATTTTATCTTTTGCACTTGATCACTCTTTCTTTAAATAAACACTCTTAGCTGATCTAGTTATATCTACAACATAAAAAATCTTAGAAACACACTTTATCTTTTTATTGCTATTTATTTCAATATCTTTTTTTTTACTTCTCTGTATTCTTTAAACGAACAATTTCTAAACTAAAAAAAACCCAAGTTAAGACCATTTTGGATTCCACTACAGCTGTTGTGAACCTGCTGCTAAAAAAAAGTACAAATGATAGATTTCTCTCTAACTTCTTTTTTACACACTTTTAAGTGTTTGTTTTTTTTGATTATTTTTAATTTTACACTGCATAATATTTTCTATAGCTTCTTTTAATCTTTTACACTTTGAAATCTTAGTATTCATTCTTCTTCTGTCTTTGTAATGGATAAATCTGCATCAGTATCTGAAATCAAATATTAACTATCTGTGATAAAAGCTTCCATAGTAATTTAACAACTCTGTAGAGTGAGCTTTAAATAAAATAATAAATAGAATACTTTATAAATTTTTTATTTATAATTATATTATTATTTACTTTATATTTATAAATAAACAGGGACTGAGCAGGCTGATATTTATTTGATTTAAATTGTTTATTTAATTTAAATAAATTTTGATGATAAATATAAGAGCTTTAAGTAATCAAAGCTTCAACCTTTAATTTATTTTAAATAAAATTTAAAAGTCTTCATAATATCATAAGAAGAAACCAGAATAGTGATTTACATGTTTAATATATAAATTCAATTTAGAAGTATTCATAATATTAATAAAAATGCAAGGATAGTTATTATCATTGTTTTTCTTTTTCTTTTAATTTATCTAGTTTTTGTTGGCTTTTTTTTTCTTTTTTCATTCTCCTCGTTCATATTTCATTTGCTTTTTTTCCTTTTTTTGTTGTTGAGAACTTTGTGTTTTTTATGTGTCACTCCATTGACTATTTTTGTATCTATATAAGTGACACCTAACCAATTTCTGTAAATTTACGATAAATATTTGCAAATTTTTATTAATATGGTTAATAAATAAAATTTTAAAAAATTAAACATACACACAATTTAAAATAGTTGCAACGTATCTTTAATCTTCTTTAAAGAGAGATTACTAAGGTTTATCGGTCAAATGTTGAAACCAAATTTTGTTCTATTTGCGGTAATCCCACACAATAATTAATATGAATTCGTTACATAATACAAATTAAGGTTTTAAAAACTTTTAATTTGTTTTAAATTATAAGGTTTTTATTCTGCATAGAAATGCTGCTTCAGTTCATCTAAAGTCACACTTGGAAGCTTTCAAAGTGTATGAGGACCTTCGCTAATTTTATTATTTTTTTCAAAATATTTTTACTTATTTATTATTATCCCCTCTATAACAAGACACTTGGGAGTAAATAATACTAAGTATATGGTATAGACTCCAATTTTAACTCTGTAGTCCTAAATTTATAACTTTATTAGACACTGGCAATTAGCTTATTTTTATAACTTGTCCTACAGTACTTAAAATTTTTTGCCGAAGCCAAAGATTCGGCAAAAAATTGACCTGGCTTCGGCCTAACCGAAGCTTCGGCAATTTTGCCGAAGCTTTGGCACGCCGAAGCCGAAGCCGAAGCTTCGGTACATCCCTACTAAGTACAGTAACAGGCGGAAGCCGGTGGCCACAGCAAAAAAAGTTGCCCGGCCTACCAGAAAACTTCCTGGTGTCTTGTCGGATAGTCCAGCCCTGTTTACAAACATTGGACAAGGTTCATCTGTACCTGGAAAACCTGGAAATTTAGTTCATTTTGGCTAAAGTCATGGAAAACCTGTAAAAGTCAGAAGATTTTTTTATTCTATAGATAGTCATGAAAAAGTCCGAAAATTCTGAATGAGAAGTTACTCGTTTTACAATTAAGCTATTATGTTTTTTTGTACTATCCATTTATTTTTTCTGAATCTTATGTTTTTCTTAGTGTTCATTCTTAGTCATCCTTAATAATAAGATCTATACTAACATGTATAATAAGATCCATACTATTATCCAACTTAACTAATAGCTAAGCTTTATAAGTTTTGTCATTCAAAGCATGTACAATTTTAGCATTTTCATTACAGGAGATAGTAATTTTAAACATTTCATAAAAACGGTGTTATAAATGGTCAGGGAAATTCATCTGATTTTTCATAAAGATCAGGGAATTTTATATAAATATTTGGCTACGAACCCTGTTGGAAAAATATTTTTTTAATATGAATTTTTTTGTTTTACAGTGCAATATGTATCTCAAACGTTAACGAGAATTGTTTTGTTTTAGTGCAAGAATTTGAATGCACACCAGCAAATTCCATAATTCATAAAAATATTATGAATCCATTAGCAAGTATATCTTTTTTTCATTAAAAATATGCTCCTCCGTCTTTTATTTTATTTGCTTTGTCATTAAATGTTGCATTTACTTTCATAAATTCTAAATGTTATATGTAATTTGTTGTATAGTTTCTTAAAATTATTATTAACTTTACTGTTTCAACATAAAGTTGCATCCCCTAAAGATATGCATGTATTAATGGCACCATGGGCAAGCATTGAAGTGCAACTTGGTGAACTACAAAACACATTAAAATTAATTATATAAAAATTTGAGTAACAAAGATATGCTAATTAATGATTTGCCTGAAAGAGTGTCATTGCCATTAAAAGCAGTGGAGAATTCAAGTACTCTGGAAGAAAAAAGACATGAAAATACTTAAGCAAATGGTAAATATTTTTTTATGCATTTTGTATGATATCTTTATACAAATTATGTACTTTAAACAAATACTCTTTGAAAGTTTTTTGTAAATGGCATTTTATATTAATTTAAGTAATTTAACCAAAAGTAATTTTAATTATTGCAAGATTGTATACTTTTGTAGGTTAAATTATTTTGGACAAACTGGAGTTAAAAACAAAGGAGATTGTATATGTTAATTACTTAGAATGTTTTTTAAAAATGGTCTAGCTGTAAAATTAAATTATGCAGGGAGAGGACAAAAAAAAAAGAAATAGAAAGAAACTTAATTGCATATGTTGCTATTAGCAAGTGGTTTAGAAGTTTATTTTTTCAGTTTCAATTTTGCATTGCACAATTACTTTCAATTTGTTATGTTTCTTTAGTGCATAATTAAACAAAGAAATTTTTTGCAAAAGCTGTAAAGTCAAATAGGCACGGCTTATGCAGGCATGTGATAGAGATGGTGGAAGAAAAGATTATATTCGTGGGCACCAAATATTATTAGCTAATCACGATTCAATAACAAGTTGTTCAGCCAATAACAAAACTACTTCACAAATTTTATAGGGAATTTTTTTGTTTAAAACTCCATGTGT